ATAACCTTATGTCTGGTGTCTGAGATCCCAAGAAATACAAACCTTGGGCCCTCTTGTGCCATGACAGACATCACTAATGGATAAAAGGTTTTCTCCCTCATTAGTCTGACAGCAATGAGAATCCTTTCAACACAGCATTCCAGGAAGCCCAAACGAATCCATCCTAATGGGAGTGTAAGATAAAAATGATTTCTGAACCTGGTTCTGAGTGAGTCTACTTAGGAGGCAACCAAAACTCCATCAGGCGGACTTCGTGTCATGTCTCAGTAGAATGCTGCATGGTGACCAGTAGAACTTTGATGTGATCTGAGGGAAGTCACTATCCTATTGGGCAGCATCTTCCAAGGAGAATGAGGAAGAGGAAGTGGTGACTGGAGAACAGGTGTGGCCCTGAGGTTAGCAGGCTCAGTATTCATCTGACCAGGAAATGTCCCTCCATATTGCCATTTAATGCTAGAAAAGGTATCTTAGCTACCTGGAGCTGCTGTCATGTAAAAAGACCAGATAGGTGTTACAGCCCAAGGGTAAAGTATGTTTGTAATTATTAATAATGAGACACACTACCAGGAATGAGATAGAACAGAGAGCATAAAGACAGGGGCTAGGAGTTTCATCGACAGAAGGGCCTTAAGCCCCGCCTCTCTGTGTATATATTGATAATCAGAGGAAGGAAATCATAAAAAGAATTCCCTTGTAAATGAAGACAAATTTTTCAACCTAATGCTGTAGCTCAGGAAGTATTTCACACATATTAACACTCCCTCTGTAGGGAAAAACAGCAGGAAACAGCTCATTTTCTGTGATCTGTCACAAGATAAATCCTAACTTACAAATTTCTAATTCCTTCCATTCCTGAACAAGCATATGGTTTTTCATACAATGTTTGGCATGAAATTTGGCTTTCCGTTAGTAGGTAGATGGTCAAGAGTGTTGTCCCGTGGTCTTGAAAGCCCGTCAGAGTCGACTCAGTCTCGTGGCGGTTAACTCAGACTGATTCACAGCTGGTCCACGTGGGGATTTCCTGAGGCAGGATGTCGTGTGAGAGGAGATTGCTGTTCTTTCTCTTGTGGAGCCACTAGTGGATATCGAACCCCGGAGAGACCACACCTACAGGTTAGCAGTGCACCTCCCTACAGACTCCATCCCCAGAACTCCATAATGAAGAGTCCCAACCTTGGAGAGCCACATAGTGGGGTCATAAGCTTGAAAACCCAGTGGAGGGTCAGCTGTAAGTCAGTTTCAACTTAGAGACACTGAGTCCTGGAGGCTCAAAGGCCAAATCTGTGTGGATTTCTTCTGCATCAGTTTCTTCTGCATCCTTTCTCCTGGTTTCAGGTGTCTGCTGATAGTAATGATCACGTGATACCTACCTGCCTTCACCCTGTGTCTCTGTATCTGTGCTGCTTCCTTTTTTTTTAATTTTTTTATGACTCAGAAGTGATAGGTTTAGGGCCTATTCTCCAGTGGTCTGATTTCATTAACATCACAAAAGAGAACCCCTCTCTATTTCCAGACAGAATCCCATACACAGGACCCAGGGCCAGAAAGTCAACACATACTTTTGGAGGAACAATGTTTACCCATAACAGCGTGCTCGGTAACGAGTCCAGGAGAAACCTATCCTCCCTCCATCCAGGATCTTTGGCCAGCTTCACCCTCTCAGAAAAACCAAAAGGGTGATGCTGACGTGTACTGACCTACCTATTACAATTCAGAGCTGCGCCAGAGGGAGGAACCACGTGGGAGATGCTTCCTGCAGAACACTAGGGGACAGTGGTCTGGGACACCTGCCATCAAGTATAAAAAGTCAGGGAAGGAGCTGTTGGTGCTCCCAAAGACCCCAACCACATACCTGTGATTGGTCCTGCAGGAGGTCTAGGAAGAAGAGGTGGGGGTTGCCTAGACACAGAGGGAGGAGGAGGAAAAGGTGATGGAAGGGGGAACAGAAGTGAGGGCAGTCAGGGATGGAAACGGAAGTGAGCCTGGAGGAAGTTCACAACAATAGTGATAATTTGTTGAAGCACAAAGAGAAATGAGAGAGAGAGGGGGGTGGATGGAGGCAAAGAGAGAGAGAGATGGATGGAGGGTAGGAGAGGGAGAGGGAATGAGAACAGCAGGACAAGAAGGAAAAAGAACTGGAAGAATCTGTTCTGGAAAACAATGTATTCAAATTTTGTAAATGTATAATTAAAAAAATAAAGAAGGAATTGTTGTTGTGACAGGAATTCAGAATGAGGGTAGCATGGTAGAGTGGACTTGGGGGGAGAGATTGAATAACAATGAAAGAATTTTTTTTTTTTACTTTTAAAAAAACCAGCTAATGGGGGGAGGGGTGGGCAGGGAGAAAAGTGCAACAGTGAATGAATGAAAATCCAGAGTCTCTTCCATTAAAATAAATTTAAAATAATAATTAAAAAATTAAAAAGGAAAATAATTGGATCCTTGTGCCTTGAATTGGATCTCAGCCCACCTCAAATCGGAAGCTCATATTTTAACAGCAAATGGAAGTGCACAAGAGGCCAAGGAGTGCTTTCTTCTCTCTAGCTAAGGAAGGGAACAGTTTTTGCCTTTAAAATGTAGAGGTTGCTCAGAAAGTGGCCTTGGAAGTGGGGAAATTGGCCTTGGAAGTGGGGAAAGTGTCCTTGGAGGTGGGGAGAGTGGCCTTGGAGGTGGGGAGAGCAGCCTTGGAGGTGGGAGAGAGGCCTTGGAGGTGGGAGAGCGGCCTTGGAGGTGGGGGAGCGGCACTGGAGGTGGGGAGAGCGGCCTTGGAGGCGGGAGAGAGGCCTTGGAGGTGGGGAGGGCGGCCTTGGAGATGGGGAGAGCGGCCTTGGAGGTGGGAGAGAGGCCTTGGAGGTGGGCTAGCAGCCTTGGAGGTGGGAGAGCGGCCTTGGAGGTGGGGGAGCGGCACTGGAGGTGGGGAGAGCGGTCTTGGAGGTGAGAGAGCGGCCTTGAGGTGGGGAGAGCAGCCTTGGAGGTGGGGAGAGCGGCCTTGAGGTGGGGAGAGCAGCCTTGGAGGTGGGGAGAGCGGCCTTGGAGGTGGGGAGAGCGGCCTTGGAGGTGGGGAGAGCGGCCTTGGAGGTGGGGAGAGTGGCCTTGGAAGTGGCTGGGGCTTCTCAGTTCCAATGGGCTTTGCTACCCTCTGCTGGCAGCACCCTGGTACTCCACGTGCTGTGCAGGTGCGTTCAGTTGCTGGCCCCTGTGGACACCCCTGGAGGCCCTGTCCAGCCCCGCATCAGTGCTGTTTGAGCTCATTGTGGTGGCCACCATGTCAGTCCATGTCCTTGTCCACTGACTCTGTCCTTTCCCAAACGCCTTCTAATGATATTTCCAAAGTCTGTGAGGCCCTCTCTTCTAAGAAGCACTCTGCCAGCCAGTAGGAGCTGTTGTGGTGGCTAAGACTTAGTTTGCCCCTTCTCTGGCTCAAAGCAATGATGTCAGTTTATCAACAGGTGTGCCTGATTCTGACCATGGTCGTTTCAATCGATTGCTGTGCATCTGAGAGCCAGAAATGAATAAGGATGACAGAAGGCTTACTCTGAACATCTTTCTAAGCATGGTGTCCTTTTCCGAGGAATATCCTCTCCTAGCAATATGTTCAGAGTATGAGAAACGAAGCTTTATCATCATTGTCTCCAAGGAACATTCTGGCTGCACTTTCTCCAAAACATATCTGTTTGTTCTTTTGGAAGTTCATGGAATATTCAGTGCTCTTCTCCCACACCATAACTAAAAAAAAAAAGTCTTCTGTCATCCTTGTTCATTGTCAGTGAAAGAGGGGAAGACCCTCTACAAGATGGATTGACACAGTGACACAGCCGTGGGCTTCAGTGTGTCAGATGACGAGGATGGCACAGGTTAGGACAGAGTTCAGGTCTGTTGTTTGTAAAGTCACTATGAGTAATACTCGGCTTAGTGGCACATAACAATAACAACTGGCTCAAAAATCAGACAGTGAGATCTGAAGGGAAGGACTCGCGCTGCCAGCCCCCACTTTTCCCCTGAATTCCAGATGTACATTTCCATCAGCCTGTTAGGTATTTCTTCTTGAGTCTTAATTCCCCATCACTGCTGAAAGAAATTACTACAAGTGGTTTCAGACAACGCATATGTGTTATTTAATGTGCTGGTGACAGCTCTAGAGATCAGGCATTGGAATAAATCCCTATGAAGGCTAAATTCAAGGTGTAGCCAGCCTGTTCTCTCTGAAGCTTGGGGTCTTCTTCCAACAACAGGTGATTGTTGACAGAGTTCTGTTCCTGTGATTGTGTCCTGAGCCCCGTGTTCTCACTGACTGTCTCCTAGGGATGGCTCTTGGGTGTCAGTGACCTCCTCCAGTTCCTTGCCAGACGGGCCCTCACAGCAGGGCGGCTTCCTGCTTCCATTGGCTCAGGCAGGACCAGCATTCTTAGTGATACCCCATTCACCTTGTTCCAGTCTATTGGTTAAAAGGCAACTACGTGATCTGCCTGTGCTCGGGGGATGGGAAAAGACCAAACATGGATTCATCTAGAATCTCCTCAAGATCACTATTAGCACACCTTGTAGATTATCCCAAGATTTACAGAAATTCCGAGTGTAGGTGGCTCGCCAAGGGCCCCGAGTGCATAGTGCACTGCTCGGACTGCCCACCGAAAGGCAGCAGTTCAAATCTACCAGGCACTGTGCAGGAGAAAGAAGAAGTCTGGTCCATTGACATTTCAAGGGAATACCTTCCTTGCCGGTGCTGAAGGCAGGTTCTTTCCTCTCCTGACCCTGCTTCCTGGGTCCTTAGTGATCTCTCCTGTTTGGCATGTCGAGATTGGCATCTGCTTCTGGGTTTGATTGTTTCATCTCCTTTACTATCTCAGAAGAGATGGATTTAGGGTACACCCTGCATGCCTCCTGTCTCATTAGCATAACAAAGACAACCCACACTCATGGGAATGGACATTGTGGTTGGCAGTGCATAGTCTGGGGATACAGTTCAGGCCCTAAGAGTCGCTTTTCTTCCTCCCCTGCAGGTTTTTGATCGTTCTGGGGTGCTTGATCCTGGCCGTCCTGACCACCTTCAAGGAGTACGAGACTGTCTCTGGAGACTGGCTGCTCTTGCTGGTGAGCTCGCCCTGCCTTGTGCCGGGCAGACTGACTGAACCTGTGGTCGACTTTCCACAGCCCCTGTCACAGCGGGAAGGACGCCCTGGGGGCCAGCGAGTGGCTCAGTGTCGTTGGTCACAGCAAAGCCCAGGAGAAAACAGTGCCTGGCCACCTCCTGAGTTCTCCCCTAGGCGTGGTACTGGTACTGGTTCAGGGGTAAACTTGCAAGAGACCTAGGTTCAATTCCCAGCCAGTGCGTCTCATGCTCAGGGCCCCTCGACCCCAACTCTTATCAGTGGAAGCCTGTGTGCTGCTGTAATACTGAGCAGATTTCAGTGAATCTTCTGATCGAAGAGACTAGAAAGAACGGGCTGGTGATGTCTGTCCAAAACCCAGGCATTGAAAATCCTGGGGGTCAGGAGTCTGGTTGCACACAGGATTGCCATAAATCGGTGGGGTAGGGTGGAGAGGCTGATCTGAGGACAGCAAACAACAACAGTAGGGACATCGATGCCACTGTCACAATGGCGTTTGTGACGAGGACTTGCTGTTCCTAGGTTGAAGCTAAGGGAGCAGAAACATCACAAAAGAACTCCATAGCGTTGGAATTACTCCATGCAGCTTCCCCAGCCTCCAGAAGTCAGCACTAAGGCATGATCCATTCTGAGACCCACCTCTCCTCTTCTTACCATCTGCTCCCTACACCTGGAAGCTCTCTTATGAAAGCCAAGTGTGCAATCCCATTCTCTGTAAACCCTCTCTAGCCCTACCTGCTCTGGAGTCCCACTCTATACCCACCAGCTGGGGAAGAGCTGTGGGGGAGAGTGGTTAGAGACCTTGGGCTGCTCCTCATGCCCTACCTCTCACGTTCTCATCAAACCACGAGCGGAGCTGATGTGAGGGGTGGAGGTGCTGGCATCCAGCATGCCACCTGGCCTAAAGGTTGCTACCAGGAAGGGCTGGCCTCCCCCACAGCCCAGCCACTCTCTCGTCACCTGACTCTCATCACCTGATTCTGGGATGATGTCACACTTGCTAGATGAGGTTTCAGTCTGTCTCTTCAGGTAATTACACAAGATGACATCTCACCTTCTCTACAGCAGAGGGGTGCCAGCCCATCAACTCCGACCTGTGGACACCCTCCTCTGTCCCAGGACAGCTGTGCTCCTTGGGGTTTCAGTGACTGATTTTCCAGAAGTGGATTGCCAGACCTTTCTTCCAGTGCAACTCGAGCTGCAGGCCAGCCTTTGGGTTCGCTGCCGGGCCTGTTAGCCGTGAGCACTACACAGAAACCCCTCCTCCTCGTTGTTGTTGTTGTTGGGTGCTGGCCACCCTCAGTCCATCGCAGTGGGGTCTTCCTCTTTCTCACTGGCCCTGCTGTGCTAGGCATGAAGGCCTCCTGCAGTAACTAGCCCCTGCTGATACCACACCCACAGGACGTGAGACAGAATCTCCCATCCTCGCATCCGAGGACGATTCTACCTACAATTCTTCCAGGACATGTTTGTTTGTTCTCCTGGCAGCCCCGGTATATTCCGTGTTCTGCGCCGACTCTGTGACTCAAAGGCATCACCTCTCCTCCATCTTCCTCATCCGTTGTCCAGCTTTTTCAGGACGTGAGGTGATCGGAAATACCATGGCTTGGCTCTGCCGTCAGCACCCGTGGACGCAGAAGTCAAGGGATCGTCAAAGTGACATTCGCCCTGGGAAAACCGTGCAGAAGACCTCTTTAAAGTCTTTCAAAGCCCCCCTCTTGTTTAACTAAAAACCAACTCATTACTGTCAAGTGAGAATCAACTTACAGCTGGTCTTCCAGTGGGTTTTCAGAGAGTGCAAATTGCAGGGGAGGAACTCAGGCAGCTTTCTCTCCCTGAGCAGCTGGTAGGATCAAACCACTTTCCCTTTGGGTTGCAGCACAACTCCTTAACTGCTAGACTACCAGAGGGTTCATGTAATAGCAGCAGCTTAGCCTCCTCTTGGCCCACCATCCATGGGGGCCAGTCAGCAGGCTGTTAAAATCTGCACAACCCCAAGATGAGACCTGAGGGAATGAACCCTGGTGTCAAAATTAATTGAAGATTGGGTTAAATTTTAAGCTCTTCCCATCTTGATTTGCATGCCAGGCAATCATACACGGCTCCAAGTTGAGAATACCCCCAAAGAGAGGTTTTAGCAGAGGTTCCTCTAATCAAAGTCAGTCCTGAAATGGATTCTGAATAACAAGGGACAGAACAAGATGTAGTTCCCCTTTCTTGAGATAGTGATTGGTGTTTGATCCAACAAGCGCTTTTATGCCATTAAGTGACTATCTTTGTGAGAAGTTTGACAGTAAGCGGAGCACGTCCTCATGAAATCTCTGACGTTTTTTCCAGTCAGCCATCCGTTTGACAATCTTGTGCTAGTCAACCACTGAGACAGGGCTCCGTGTGATTTGTTCCGGGAGGGTTTGCAGGCTGGATCCTCAGGTGAAGGCGGTCCGGGTGACAATGCATGGATCATTGCCCTCAGAGGTTCCAGCAAGTCTGGAGTCTGTGGAAAATTGAATTTGGCTCACACAGGCAAGCAGCCAGGTTCCCGGAATTCCATTTAGGGGATTGCTGGAGAGTGTGCCCTCCCCGGGGTCCCCAGGAGGTCACCAGAGCCAGAAGCAGAGGTCCAGACCAGCGAGGAGGCCTGGCGGACGAGGCACCATAAACACCCACCCCCCAAAAACTACGTTGTCGTCAATCCAGCCGTCAGAGCAGAGCTCCACTCCATGGAGTGATCGTGGTTGAGATGTTTCATTAGAATTTGATCACCAAGCCTGTCTCCAAAGTGGATTTGAACTGCCAAACTTACCATCTGCAGCTGAGACTTGCAGTTTTGCAGACTCAGAAACCCCTGAGGGCAACACAAAGCCCAAAGCCCAGTGCTGTCCAGCAGACTGTGACTCAGCGGCCATCCACCGTCTTTCTGAGGCTGTAAATCTACAGAAGATTGCTCCTCTTTTTCCTGGAGAAGTGTTGTCATTGTCAGGTGCCGTCCAGTTGACTACACCTCAGTACAGAAAGAGTTGGTGAATTAGAACCACTGACCGTCCCCTTCCCTCAACAGCCTGACGTGTTAACGAGCTCCTTGGAAGCAGCATCGCAAATGCGTAAACGCGTGCCCCTGAAGGACTCTCGGTCATTGCTAGCATGTAAAGGAGTTCTGGTTACATACCGGGGGAGGGACTTCGAGAACTTGCTCCACTAATGTCTCTCTTTTCAACCTAAGTGTATTCTTACTGGCTTTTACTGCATTAAAGGAGTGTCTTGTTGGGGAAAATGACCCATTCGAACTAGAACATTGAGAAATGGATCAAGCCATCCCTTTGGGAGGCCTCCCGATGCTCCGGACTGTTTACATTTTGGGATGTAGACAGGAGACCTGCAAACAAAATGGGGAGACCTGCCAACTCTCCACCCCTAGGCATCTCCACCGCCCAGAGGACAGCAGCAACAACTCCTGGATCACTGGGACTTGGTGGCGTAGCGTGGTGGGAGGTGGGCTCCTAACTAAAAGGTCAGTGGTTCAAACCCACCAGCCCCTTCCTGGAGAAAGATGGTTGTCTCCTTCAGCTAAGAGTTACAGCCGTGAGCTCCCAGTGCAGAGTCACAGAGCCAACTGGACAGCGGTGGTCTGGGTTTGGGGCTGGGTCTCCATTCATCAGTCTCTCTTTGTTCGTCGCATCAGGAAACGTTTGCTATTTTCATCTTCGGAGCTGAGTTTGCTTTGAGGATCTGGGCTGCGGGATGCTGCTGCCGGTACAAAGGCTGGAGGGGACGGCTCAAGTTCGCCAGGAAGCCCCTGTGCATGCTGGGTGAGCTGGGCCTGAGGGCCCTGGGGGTCCTGGTGCCTACCCACCCCCACATACACACTCCTTGGTGGCCTTATTATTGGGGGGAATTTATGTCACATTTTAGGAACAGCCTGGCCATCCTGGTCTTGTCCTGGGAAGGGGCCACAGTGTCCTGCTGCTGCACCCCTCCATGGCTGACCATGGTTATGGGGTGGGGGCAGACCTGACATTGAGGTGTCTGGGTATGGAAAATTCCCAGTCACATGACAGTCACATATACATCTCTGGACTGACTGGAGTGGGGCTCTTGCTGGTGTAGGACCGTGTTATGCCCATTTTACAGACATGAACATTGAGACTCAACAGAGCTGAATTATTTTCCAGAGTCACACAGCCGTGAGCTGCCGGTGACTCGCAGGCCTGATGAAGCCAGCTTGTGCCCACCCCTAGTGTCTAAGTGCGTCTGGCACACGTCACTGAGGCCCTCGTCAAGCTCAGGCATGCTCCTGGCTAGTGTCCCGAGTGCTGACCGCTCCCTGTGGGTGCTTTCAGGGCCCACACACAAACCCCGTGCCCAGGAGCTGGGTTCAGCCCACAGCAGCCCATGGGAAGGGGCAGAACTGTCAGCGAGGGTCCTGAGTGTGGATCCTCACACAGCTGACTGCCACGTCCTTCTTCCGTGGCCAAGGGCTTGACCACTGGACCACTGGCACCTCTCCCTTTAAGGGAGGCCCACGTGGAAGCAGGTTGAGCCTCAGGACTTTTCTCCACACCTGGGCCCATGGACAGTGAACCACAAGCGTCACGCTGAGGGCCTGAGTGACCACTTCTGGCCATGTGGCTGTGGCCACCATCTCATGCCCTGTCAGGGGAGCACCTGTCAGTACAGAGGACAGCACCAGGCGGCCGCACTCCTCTCAACCTCACTGTCCCCTCCCCGGTGCCCTCTGTCTTTCCCAGACATCTTCGTCCTGATTGCCTCGGTGCCCGTGGTGGCCGTGGGGAACCAGGGAAACGTCCTGGCCACCTCCCTGCGGAGCCTCCGCTTCCTGCAGATCCTGCGGATGCTGCGTATGGACCGGCGTGGCGGCACCTGGAAGCTCCTGGGCTCGGCCATCTGTGCCCACAGCAAAGTAAGTGCCTGCCCAGGGTCAGGGACTCCCTCTCCAGGGAGTCCACCAGGGATGGCAGTGAGGAGGAGGAGAAGGAGGGAACACAGGAGGAGGGGTGTATGCCAGCGTGCAGGCCTGGGGTCTCCACCCCCCACCTCTCCCCTCCTGCCAGTGGCCACGTCACTCAATCCTCTGACCCTCAGTTGCCTCATCTCTCTAATGGAATAATAACATGTACCTCTGGACAGTTAAGAGAGTAAATGAGCTCATGGAAGGTGGCCTGGGACAGGAGGGCAATGTGTGAGCATTGGTCAGCATCCAAATACCACCCGTGAGACATTGGGGGTATATTTTTTTCCTTTCTCTCTTTGGAACTCTTTGCATCTTGATTTCTTCCTTTATGCAAATGAAGCTCTGGTGGCTAGGTGGTAAGGAATTTCACTACCAACACAAAAGTACACCGTTCAAATCCACATGCTGCTCTGTAGGAGAAAGGTGGGCAGTTTCCTCCCAGGTGATTTACTGCCTCTGAAAAGCCACAGGAGGGTCAGCCGTGGGTCCGTTCTGACTTGAACAGTACCCAACAACAAGAAGCTGTTCTTACTCTAGGGAACTCTGGCGACCTAGTGGGTAAGGGATTGCACTGCTAGCCCCAAAGGCTTGTTGCTGCTTGAGACAAAAATGGACAGTTTTCTCCTTTGAAATATATATCCTCTGAAAGGCTGCTGGAGGCTGAGCTATGCGGTGGGTCTGACTCAAGGACACGGAATGACAATACTTATTATTAGTATCTTTTAATTCATACAGAACCGTTTAACATATACAGTATCTATCTGCCTGTAGTCACTGGAGGCGTGGCACGTTTCAGGAACTCTCTAAGCCTGTCCTTCTGTTTTCAAAATGGGGAAACTCAGGCTAGGGTGTTGCTGACTCCACAGGGTCACCCAGGCCTGGGTCCTGCCCACAGTGCTGTGCACTCTGGTACACAGGCTGCCCCTTTAACGTCCCGTTAGCCTCTGGGTCCTTGCTCTGCCCCATCCTACAAAGATCACCGTCTCGTGTGTCCTGAGCACTGTCCGAAGGCTGGTGGTCAGCAGCTCTCCTGGACGCCTCTGGACCTGCGAAAAGCAAAAACTTACCTCTCCTGCTAGAACTCCATGCCTGTGGTGTCTGCCACCACGTAACAAGAGAGCGATGGAGAGAATAGCAGTGTTAGCCAGCCTGTTGGACGGTGGCTGGACATGGAGCTCAGGGAGGCTGAGGGACCTGTTCAGGGCTGCGGAGCAGGGAAAGGAGGCGCCTGGCTGCACCCACAAGTGCCTGCTGACCACCACCTGTGCCATCCACTTAAACATGTCCACGGCCCACTGGCCCCATGACACTCACTGACCACCACTTCTGGTATCCACTCAAGCATTTCCACGTCCCACTGGCCCCATGATGCCCACTGACCTTCACCTCTGCCATCCACTCATATGTCCATGTCCCACTGGCCCCATGACATCCACTGACCACCACCTCCAGCATCCACTCAAACATGTCCACGTCCCGCTGGCCCCGTGACACCCACTGACCACCACCTCTGCCATCCACTCAAGCATGTCCATGTCCTGCTGGCCCCGTGACACCCACTGACCACCACCTCTGGCATCCACTCAAGCGTGTCCACATCCCACAGCCCTACGACCACCCCCTCCCTTGTCTACTCCACTTTGTCCATGTCCCGCCAGACCTGTGTCCACCCACTGACCCCTGCCTCCCTGTCCACTCTGTGTTTCAGGAGCTCATCACCGCCTGGTACATCGGGTTCCTCACACTCATCCTTTCTTCGTTCCTCGTCTACCTGGTGGAGAAGGACGTGCCCGAGGTGGATGCCCAGGGGGAGGAGATGAAGGAGGAGTTTGAGACCTATGCAGACGCCCTGTGGTGGGGTCTGGTGAGTCACCAGCTGCAGGTCTCCCCTGTGGGTGGACGGACATGTGGGTGGACGGTCGTGTGGGTGGACGGTCATGTGGGTGGACAGTCGTGTGGGTGCACAGTCGTGTGGGTAGATGAACATGTGGGTGGACGGTCGTGTGGGTGCACGGTCGTGTGGGTGCACGGTCATGTGGGTGGACACTTGGGGCAGAGAGACGGCGGGAGTGGCCCAGTCACCCTCCCTGGGGTGGCTGCACTCTTCACACGGCTGACCTGTCCTCTCCGCAGATCACACTGGCCACCATTGGCTACGGCGACAAGACGCCCAAAACGTGGGAGGGCCGCCTGATCGCAGCCACCTTCTCCTTGATCGGCGTTTCCTTTTTCGCCCTCCCAGCGGTAAGTGCCTTTCATGTTCTCCTCGGAGTTAGATGAAGTCTTCCTCCCAGCTCAGCTTTCCTGCCTCACCGCCCACCCCTGGTCCATCTGTTCACACCCTGCAGTCCAGTTCTTCCACACAGGTGCCATTTTGCCTGGCCTGAGAGGCTCTCCTTGCCAGGTGTGAGCCCATCTCTGCCTGGCCAGCGTCTTCACCCCCACAACCTCCTTTCAGCGTTGACCCTCCTTAGATGACACGGTTCCTCCCCTCCTCTGGGCATGAAAGGGATCCAGTACTTGACAGCTGACCATGAGTTCAGTGGTTGGAACCAGGAGCTGCTCTGTGGAAGGCCCAGAGATCTGATCCCAGAAGGATTTCAGCCCAGGGAATTATGGGACACTCTGTCTGTGAGGTCGCTATGTGTCAGGATCAATTGGGCATCACAAAACAACCATCTCCGAGTCACCTCCAAGCCCACTAAAACGCTTGTAGTGTCGTGCTGGGTGGCACGTTTTCACATCTTCCTCACGAGATGGTGTGATCTTTCTGGTCCCAGGGTTTTGCACATAGTAGGCCCTTCATATGCATGATCTCCCCTCTTTGCCCTATGTTTTAACAGTTTAGGTAAAAATACGTATTTCCCTAAAGAGTTGTCTCTGTGCACAGAAGTAGCTTTTCCAAAGCCCAGGGCCCAGAAGTGTAATAATAATGATTATCAGTGTCATTTGCTGACCTCACCGCACGCTGGCATCAGACCAAACGCTCTACAAAGACCATTGCGTTCCATCCACCCATCAACACGATGAGTTCAGTGATGTATTTATCTCCATTTTCCAGACGAGGAAACCAGAGGATTAACTGGGTTACTGGACTTCCCCCCAGCGTGCCTGTGGGGCTGGGAAATGCAGCATTCATCCCCATTGTGCTGGTTTCTAACGTTCTCTTCATCTCCGAGGGAGAAAACAGTCTTCCAGGAGGGCAGTCGCTGTGTTGTCCCTCCATCTCCCGTCCGGAGGATGCTCTTTCTCCATGGGCTACCCTACTGTGTTCCTTTTTAATAAGCTTTTTAGTTTGGGGCGTCTGACTTTCTGAGAGTCAGTTTCCATCCTCGTCATGTAGGGGTTGTAGACATGCTAACCACTTTCTGAGTTCTTATAAGGTGAAGAGCATGCACTTCTCCCCCTTTAATCCCCATGCAGGTAAGACCTAGAAGTCAAAACACGTCACGGTTCTAGAAAACTCCAACTGGAGCAAATCTCGAGTGACCTCATGTTTGGGAAATCATTTTAAAAGCTTCATCATTTTAAAGTGCTCATCTCCCGGGTGTCTACTTGGTGCCGTAGCTTTTGTTGGGCACTTTAATCGTAATAAGCTCGTGGCAAAGGGGAATGTAATGAGAAGAGACTTGCCCAGAGTCTTCTAGCTGACCAGTGGCAGAGACAGGATTAGGACCTGGACTTCCTGACTTAAAGTCTTATTCCATGTAACCGGCTTTTTTCTCCTCCAGGAGAAACAAGGGTCTCCTGGGAGCTGGAGTGGGAAAGGTCATGTGACCTGACTAAACAGGGTCACCACCAGAGCCTCCTGGGAGCTGGGATTAGGAAGGCCATGTGACCTGACTGGGCTCACTTCTCCCAACAGGGCATCCTGGGGTCCGGGCTGGCCCTCAAGGTGCAGGAACAGCACCGCCAGAAGCACTTTGAGAAAAGGAGGAAGCCAGCCGCTGAGCTCATTCAGGTCTGTGTGTGCAGGCTCCGCACTGCTGACTGGACTGATGTGTATTCAGACACTTGATCAGAGGCAGACGTGCCCATTCTAGAACCTGAGTGCAATAGTGCGTACCCAGACATGGCAGAGCATACCCACCAGAAAACTGAGTGTATCCACCGAGTGTGTCCGTGTGTCCAGACAGGAACAGGCATGCTCCTGAAAGACCCCTGAGTGTGTCCGTGTGTCCGTGTGTCCAGACAGGAACAGGCATGCTCCTGAAAGACCCCTGAGTGTGTCCGTGTGTCCAGACAGGAACAGGCATGCTCCTGAAAGACCCCCGAGTGTATCCGTGTGTCCAGACAGAAAAGGTGTGCTCCTGAAAGACCCCCGAGTGTATCCGTGTGTCCAGACAGAAAAGGTGTGCTCCTGAAAGACCCCGAGTGTGTCCGGGTGTCCAGACAGGAACAGGTGTGCTCCTGAAAGACCCCTGCGTATGTCCATTTGTCCTGACAGTAACAGACATGCTCCTGAAAGACCCCCAAGTGTATCTGTGTGTCCAGACTGGAACAGGCATGCTCCTGAAAGACCCCTGAGTGTGTCCGTGCCAGGGCGGGAGTGGGCCTCCATGTGAATTTAGGGGAACTCAAGCTCTCCGGCTGTGTCCGTGTGTCCTCTGGTGCAGGCAGGCCGGCTAGTCCGTGACCCCCAAGTGCGTCCATGCAGCCCCTGGCTGGAGCGGGTGTGCTCAGCACACTTCCCGACGTGGTGATCTGTATGACTTGTCCACATGTGCACGTCAAGTGACAGCCTCACCCAGGACAGTCCCGCTGAAGTTCTAATCCAATCAAGAGTTATCCACAGGACACAGAAAATGCCAGCACATCAACTTTTCCTGGTGACATTGGCTTGGGGGGTTTAGCCTGAACTTGGGGCCATCCTAGGCTTCCTTCTATAGTTTCACCCCACTCTTAACTTTGGGACCCAAAAAGGAGAGGCAGCCCCCTGTGTGAATGCTTACTTGATCATCTTCAAGAGAATGATGTCATCATTGTCCCCAATCTGCGAGAGGTAGTGAACCTGGAAATCAAGAGAGAAGAAAAAAGCAAACACCTTCTGTACCCACGACACTGAACCATCCACCTGTCTGTCCTGCACAAGAGACACCTCAAATCAGTGGATTTCAGATGTCCAGCATCTCCCCATGCCTCAAGTGACTCCATCTTTCAGGGCTGGGGTCCCAAGCATGTGTGCAATGTAAGGGGATTCCTCTGTGAGTCTTTATCTGGTGGGACCCTAACATGGTCATTTCTAGGGAAGTCCCAGCGTCACAGAATCAGCGAGTGCCATGTTCCCCTCAGTCTCTCATTGTACTTCCATGTGTTCAGGATGTTGTTATCAAAATCTCACCTCCTGGGCTCTTACACCTAGAAGGGACACACAAAAAAGTGTGTTTGTCTTCCTACCCCTTTGACTGAGATGCTAGAACCTTCTAGAATCTAGTTCCTCCTCTTTTCAGGCATTTTACCTCCATCCAATACCTTCCTCCCTCTCACTTCCCAGTTCTTCCCTAGTTATAACCCAGGAACATGGACCCCAGCTGATGAGGTCAAGCAAGGAAGCCTTCCTTTCCAAATCAGCTGTCCAAAGCCTCCGCCCTCCGCCCTTCCGGAGTTTGGCTCAGTGCATATCCTGACTCGTAGGGACCTAGGGTCTTCGTGTTGTGGGGTCCACTGGCAAAGTGTGAGGTGACGCTGGGTCTCCTGCCCCTTTTTCCCCAGGCCGCCTGGAGGTACTATGCTACCAACCCCAACAGGATCGACCTTGTGGCGACCTGGCGTTTTTATGAGTCCGTCGTCTCCTTTCCATTCTTCAGGTAAGCGGCATCTCACCTGAAGGCCCAGCCATGTGCAGTGTCCCGCTCACGGGCCTGGTTTCTGTCTGTGGCCTTCTTCATTTCCTGGGGGACATCCCTCAGGGCAGTGGGCCCCAGCCTGGACTGCACATTGAAGTCACCTGGAGGGCTTAAAACTACTGATACCCAGGTCACATCCCCAAACTAAAATTAATATCAATCAATCTACCACCATCAAATCAACTCTTAGTCATAGCAACACAGGACTGCCCCTTAGGGTCCCAGGACAGACAAGGACTGCCCGTTATGGTCCCAGGACAAAGTAGGATTGCCTCGTAGGGTCCCAGGACAGAGGAAGACTGCCCTTTAGGGGCCCCGGATTCTGTCTCCTGGAAGCAGATTCCCACAGCTTTCTGTCGTGCAGCGGCTGGTGGACTGACTGCCGAGCTTTCTGTTCACACTGAGCTGCCCAGTCATGTGCTCCACCGTTGGCCGCAGCCTCCACCCTCAGATCATGGTGGTCTCAGAAAAGAAAAGGGTGGTGAAATGCGGAAACACTCCTCTCATGGCCCTCATCGTGTTGTTTTATGTTCTCAGAGGGGAGAAGGAGCATTAAAAACACCAAACCAAGCCGAGCCTGGCTTCCCAGCTATGAGTACAAATTAAAAGAGAGGGGAGAAATCACCCATCCACTGTGTCTCACGTTCATAGTCCATGTAATCCTCCCCAGCACCCTGTGAGATAAACCAGAGAGTCTCCACCACTGTCAATGTTCTAATCGATGGGAGTGCTGTGAATATGCAAGTTCTGAACCCGGGACCAGGCGAAAGTACCCTAAAGGAGAGAGGATCGCTGGCAGGGCCACACCGGGTCAGGGCCCCTGGTGACGCACGCAGGGTCAGGGCTCATGATGACTCACGCAGGGTCAGGGCCCCTGGTGCTCACACAGGGCCACGCAGGGTCAGAGCCTGCTCAGGGTCACCCCTCTTCTCTCACAGATGATGGAATGGAAGTACGGGGACCTTCTGCATTTTGGCCAGTGTCAGCCACCTCTAGATGGTTCCAAAGACCATGTTTCACTGTTTCAGCTTCTCAAACAGTCTTCTCCTCTCTGGATTTTCAATACCATTATCCTGAAACCATACTTTGAAGTTTGTGAGTAGAATACTAGACTCAGCATGCTAGAGTTGGAAGGAAAAGAAGAAAGTTGGATAATGAATAAGGACAAAAGAATTGACATCTTTGAGTGGTGGTGCTAGAGAAGAGTCCTGAGTATCTCATGAACCTTCCAGGAGGACAAACCAGTAAATCTTGGGAAAGGTTCCCCTTGGAGGCAAGATGGTGAAACTCAGTCTCACATACTTGGGGCATGCTGCTGGGAAGGGCCAGTCCTTGTAAAAGGACATCGTGTTTGGAGAGGCAGAGAATCAACAGAAGGAGGGGTAAACCTTCGATGAGGTGGGCTGACACAGTGACAGTAATGATGGGCTCCCGTGTGTCAGAGACGATGAGGATGGCACAGCATAGGGCAGGGCTCAGATCAGTCCCTAGAGTCACAGTGAGTCATAGTTAACTTGACGGCACTTAACAACAATGACAGCCTCAGTCTTGGACCAAGGGCTGAGAGCTGGCCTGAACCACGTGTCTGCCTCGTCACTGTGGCTTCCCGAGGACACAGCACGTCCCCTTGTCATGAGAGGACCTGTGGCCAGTCTCCACACTCTGCATCAGTCCTCTCTCCAGCCCATCACCAGATGGTGGTAAAGGTTTAAGGAGCTCATAGAGGGTCTTCCCTTCTCACGCCATCCCTCCACCCTCCCAAGCATGATGTCCCTCTCCAAGGACCTGTCCCTCCTTACAACATGTCCAAAGTATGTCAGACGAAGCCCCAGAATCCTTGCCTCCAAGGAGTAGCCTGGTTTAACCCTCTCTAGGATGAATCTGTTTGTTTTCTTGGCAGTCCATGGTACATTCAATACTCTTCTCCAGCACCACAGCTCAAAGGCATCAATTCTCCTTCTATCCTCCCTAGTCATTGTCCAACTCTCTGATGCATAACAAGTGATTGCAAAGACCATAGCCTGTATCAAATGCACCTTAGTCTCCAGAGTGACACCATTGCTCTTCAGTAGCCTGGAGAGGACCTACTTTTCCTCTTGAAGGGGGTCTTCCTCTTTTTCCCTGAATCTCTGTTTTACCAACTGGCTACCTTTCCCCAAGGACTGGCTGGTCCCTCCTGATAACATGTGAAAAGTAGATCACATTAAGTCTCACCATCCCAGAATCTAAAGAACATTCTGGCAAAGCAGTAAAAAACAAGAGTGGAGGAGGAGAAAAACTTGGAGGAGTGATGCTTTATGGAAGCGCTTAGGAAATGGAGAAGAATCAAGCATTACTAATTGGACAATAGCATTTTCATTTCCTGACTTTTGTTTTCTTACTTGCTCAGATTCTCTTGCTCAGAAGATAACCTATATGAATTCTTTGAATTCCAGAAGTCTGTTCTTTCTCTAATTGCTTAGGTCGCTGATAGCATAAAACGGAGTCTTCCTAGAATGGGCAGGTAGCTTCCCCTTAAGAAAGAACAGAGTGACCTTGAACTAAAAAATAAGAACATGTACAGCTGAGTTGAATCAGAACCAAGCTAGCTTTCATCTGCTGTGCGTCCAGAGGTCTTGGCAATGGGCCGGTTCTTTTGAGTTGATGGATTATAAATAAGGCATTGTCCTGGCTGTCAGGGACGTACGTGGAGCTGTGCATGGTGCTGCAGACAGCTTCTGTGATGCAGGGACGGATTCTGAACTAAGAGAGAACAGTCCTTGCTTCCTTTTTGTTGTTTTTTTCAAGGACAAAAGTATAGTCCCTGGAGAAATTCTCTTAGCAACCGTTCTGAAGGAAGGCAGTCCTTTGGGAAGAGATTGCCCCTGAATTTCAGCCCACTCTGTTTTCTCCTGTCAGAGAAGTGGCTAGAAATACAGTGGTGTGTCTCTATTGGCTTTGTAGATTTTTGCTTTACTTTTTCACTTACAAAAATAGCAATATTGGGATATAATCCATATACAATGAATTTTACCTATTAAAAGTGTATAATTCAGGGTTTTTTCCCCTCAAATTGAACCCCACTTACTACTGTCCAATTCCAAAACATTTTGCCACCCCAAAAAGAAATCCTGCCCCATGAGCAGTTGTCCTCAACCATTTCTTTCCCCAGTTTCTGCCAACCAAGACTGGATTATTTAAAAAAAAAAACAACAAAAACCAAAAACCAAGAAATGATCACATTCTGGACATTTTTTGACAATTATACAACACCCCTCACCTAGCCCCTTGAATTACTTTTGTGTTATATGTGGAGATACATTATTTGCAGAGGAAAACTTACAATAACATCTTGTCTGCCTATTATAAAGGAAGGGAGCTCTGGTGGTCTAGTGGTAAAGAGTTGCACTGGCAACTGAAAGGTACACTGTTCGAATCCACCAGCTCTTTTGCAGGAGAAAGATAGGCAGCCTCCTCCCATGAGATTAACTGCCTCTGAAAACCCACCGGAGGGTCAGTTACGGGTCTGTTCCTTTCAACATCAACAACAGTTACAAATGAGAACCAGCTACGTGGTCTCTTGTGCGAACCTTCTTTCAGTCAGCGTGATTTCAGAGTTCATCTATGTCAACGTGCACCATAGTGTTATTCACTTTCATGCTCACATCCTGTTCCTTTATGTGGATAGAGCACATTTTGTTGGGTTCTCTTGACTCTCTTGACCATTTTGAATGATGCTCTTGTAAGGACGTTGTTAGAAGTACATGGATTGTCTGGGTATATAGGTCAACTCAACTCATTGCCATGAAGTCAAAACCGACTCATAGCTGGCCCCCCGTTGGGTTTAAAAGCTGCGTGTCTCGCAGGAATAGATTGGCCATCTTTCTCCTGAGGAGCCTATGGTGTGTCTGAACTGCCAGAGAGGCACAGCGTTTAGGTTGGCAGCAAAACTCAATATTGACTACTCCCCTAGGGCTCCCTAGATGTATAGATAAAACCTGTGTGTGTGTGTGTGTGTCTACAAAAGAGGTGTATGAGGTGGAAACCCGTCAGAGAAGAACTGACTGGTGTTGATGAGGTTGGATTATGAATAGAGTGACATAGAAATGGTAAGCAGACTATCAAAGGGGGAAGCTGGTGGGATCTGAAAAACAGCGCAGCCTTGGTGAGTTCCAGCTCTCACAGGTTTCCCTGTATGGAACTGCTGGGTCCTCTGATAACCATCTAACTCTCTAAAGAACTACCAGACTGTGATCCTCTCAGAGGTTTTGAAGGATGACATGGTATAATCCTCCACCAACACGGGTGCCATCCCAGAATGTCTCTTCCTTCTCTAAGTGATACCTCCTCTCATTCCTCCTACTCTGGACCTCAGCGGTGGGCAAGTATTGAGCCCTCACCGTGTGGTGGAGGCTGAGTCCTGACGGGCTACTAATTCTAAGACAGATCTGGGGCAGAAATACTGGAGTAAGAGATGAACAGATAAACTCAGCCTAACCTGAAAATTTGATTGGAACCTCAAATAGGTAGCCCTACAGATAAAACTTAGAAAATGAATAAGGCTAAAAGTTAAGAGGATGTGAAGCTCTTACTGATGAAGGTCAAAGCGACAGCCACCAGTGTAGATTTCACCTCAGTGTAAAGAAAATACAAACCATCAAGTTATAGCATTGCATGGGACAAATCTACTGCAAAAGACCTCTTTAAAGTACTAAAGAATGAGGTCACGTTGACACCTCAGGTACACATGTCCAAAGCTGTGGTATTTTTTTTTTTCACTCACTTCATTTGTCTGTGAAAGGTGGACAGTGAATAAGGAAAGTTGAAGAATTGATGCCTTTGATCTATGGTGATGATGAAGAATTTTGAATACACGTGGACGGCCAGCAAGTCTGCCTTAGAGGAGGTCCAGGCAGGACGCTCCTTAGAAGAAAGGCTCCGTCTTGGGTGCTTCGTTCACATTATGAGGGGTCCTAGGCCCAGCGCAGTGCATGATGCTTGTAAAGCTGAGGGTCAGCGTAGAAGAGAAGGATCTTCAGGAAGTTGATTCTGACTCCTAACGGCCCTGCATTAGGGTTCTTTATGGGGAAACACTGCCGGTCTGTCTCCTGAAGATTGACTGGAGATTCAAACCACCGTCTTTTTGGTTAGTAGCACAGAGTCTAATAGCACTTATCTCATAGGGTCATTGTGAGGATTAAATGAACCCGTATAAAGCACTTCAAAGATCATATAACAGTCTTCTGCACTTTCACAGAATGACCCATCTCTCTCTCTCTGTCTCTCTCATAGCTTTTCTAATAAAACTGCCTTTAGTTGACTTTCGCCTTAAAAAAGAGAGAGAGAGAGAAGATATAACTATTAGCAATGGTGATGGTGTCAACAATGATGTTGCTGATAGTGACAGTTTATGGGGCCGTGTGACTGTTAGATTACAATAATGTATTTCCTGTTTTGTCCTCATCACGAATCAGACTCAGTCTGCGGCTCAGCACACATGTTCTGAATGAACAAATGAAGGAGTAACGGGCCAGAGACCAGGAGATAGGAGACAGCCCACCCCATCCATTGGTTCCCCCGACTGAGCGCCTTGTCCTAGAGCTCCACTCTGCCGCTGTTCTTCTAAGGGATGCTCTGAGGTGCATTCTGGGGCGGAGGCAGCTGTTGTATGTGCTCTGTGCCTCATTCTTCCTCCTCTTCTCTCTCTTCCAGGAAAGAACAGCTAGAGGCAGTGGCCAGGTAAGTGTCCCCTACACTCAGTTTCCTTCCCCCCAACACACTGTTTCTGGGCAGAGGGATCTGGTTCTCTGTGGGAGAGCCTCCCAGGGTGGCCATGCTGGTTACAAGAGAGGGTGTTTGGCGCTCACTGTTGTAACTGACCACCATGTTCCTCTGGCGTTTTCATGTTGGTTTATTCAAAGACAGCTTAGTAATAATCACGGCAGCACTTAAGGGGTGTTGCCTCTAGGTGGGGCTCTGAGCCTGGAGGTCTGTGATAGACTATCTCACTCCCTACACACATACACACCCGGCAGAAGGGATGTCAGGACAGACGGCCTCACTGGAGTTGTCCATCTCAGTCCATTGATATCAGTTTCCCCAATTCTTTTTTGCAAACAGTCTCTTCTCTGACCGAATCAGGAACCCTAACTGTGCACAGGGCACTGATGCCGACTCAGAAGAAGGCTTTCCTTTACAGAAGGCTTTCCTTTAGAGAAGGTTTTCCTTTAGCTTGGCAGCATCGTCCACAAGCAAGGCCTGAGCTGCCCGGGATCCAGAGATCTATACAGACGAGGGGAGAGATGGGTTTTGAGTTTCAGGGATGAACTTCACCTTGCATTTGATTCTCTTCTGAGGTCTTGGATTTCAGGCAGCACAATTAGGAAGTAAGCTGATCACCCCTCGGCTGGAGGAAGCATTCCTTAAGCCTCTTAGGTGTCGCGCTGGGAAGTGTCTCAGAGCTGCCATTTCTGATTTGAGCTCTGTGTGTCCAGCTCCTAACACCATCCATGTCCATATGCTAAAACCATCATCTGTGACCAATGGGGATTACGTGAACGTGGGCGAAGCCATCCGGACAATGAGTGGTTGAGGTGAAGTGTTTAAATGCCAAGCAAGCAAATCCTGAACCACAGCCAGGGTAGCAGGGAGAGAGTTTTCGCATTATCTCCCTAATACTCGGCCGTGAGGCGGAGATTTCAAGTCAGGACAAAGCAGCTGCCATTCAGTGTTGTCTCGCTGAGTTTATCTGGAAATGAGCTTCCCGGGTGTTTATCTCCTGCTGGGGTGGAGTGCACTGACGATTTCCAGTGTTTTGAGACAGGCCTTGAGAAGGAGCATGAAATACCGCACCAACCCTGAGCTCTCATCTCAGTGCATTAAATAATAATAATAATTAAATATCCAGCTTGTTATGGACTGGAAAATCTTACCCGTCCCTTTCACACATGTGACTAGCGTCCTCCAGCCCCCAGAGGAGGAGGATTATTGAACAAAATGACGGTGGCCGCCAGCATCTATCGATGCTTCCTGAATCCATGACCTCATTCAGTCCCCAAACACCCCTGGGAGATGTGACTCACTGTCATCATCTTGCACAGAAAGAAGCTGCAGGTGATGGGTGGGTCTGCAGGATGAACTGCATACAGGGTCACATTTCTGAGCAGGACATTTTAACCTCGTAGATTTGCCCCAGACACCCTCATTCAGACCACTGGCATCATAACGTGCTGAGCAGGACGTCAAGAGAAGCAGGCAGAGCTGGCCTCTCCGGTTGTGTTAGCAGATGGGCAGGCAGGTGTGAACACTGCAGTCTTTCCCCAGCCTGGTGGGCGCCCTGACAAAGACAAACAGAGGCTTTGGAGTGATGTCATCTCCAAGATGCTCCCACGTGCTTTAAAGGGCAGATAGCTGTGTGGTCCCTGAACAGACAGCAGAGGCCAGTGGAGGGACCTGTGTGTGCAGAGACACGCAGCAGGGTCCCTGGGGAAGCTGAATGATGGTGTTGCAGACCATGTGGACAGGGGTCAACAAGGAATAGGAAGGACTTAGCTCGTGGGTAGAAAAGCCTTGCAGGCATGTGCAGATTTCCCGCCTCGTCCACTGTCTTTAGCCTCCTTACCCTGGAATTCCTTTCCTACCAGTCACTCCGTGACCCCCTTACTGAGGCAATCAATGCTTAAGAGATTGGCTCCTCAACAACCAAGGTCCTAGGTTTGAATCCATGCAGAAGCTGTACAGGGAAAGATGAGGCAGTGTGTTCCCATAAAATTCTATCACTTTCTGGAACAATCAACCACACAAGATCAGGAGGGCAGTGTCTGCTCAGGGATAGAACTTAGACAACAAGAAGGGCTAGGTTTACTGAAAATGAGAATAATGAAGTGAGAAGAAAGTGATGGCAGTGTGGGTACTGCCATTAAAGCAGAACGCATATAAATGCTTGAATGGAAAACCAACTTGTTTTGTAAACATTGGCTCAAATCACAATAAAAAAAAATAAATACCATTTACTGCCTGAGAAACCCCACGGGGGCGTTCTTTCTGCCCCACTAGGCCATGGCAGTGGGAATCACATCAAGGACAATGAGTTTATGAGTCATTCCTCTAGTACGAGCCAGGCAAGCAGCTTTGCAACTTAGAGTGCAGTTCCAAGAAGGTGGAGTCTCTGGAAGCCTTCCTGGGTAGGTGATTAATGGGCTTTTCAGTCAAACTGCTGCCGCAGCGCTGGGGAGTCTGGGAAGTGAGAAAACACAGCAGCAGACAGGGAAGCAACTGCTCGTCCATTCATTCATTTCTCAGATACTTTCAGTGACTTCTGTATGCCAAGCAGAAAGCAAGAAACTGCACAGATGTGCTTCCCCCCTTCCCCCCGTGAGGGTGATTAGGGCCAGGAACAGGTGAGTGCCCGCTGCTCTGGCCACAGGTGGCGGCAGCTGCTGGGCAGGAGGACGGTTCAGACCTTGTCTGTTGACCCTGACACCCATGTCTCCCCACTGCATCAGGCAATGGAGGTATCAGTAGCTTCTGGCAGCCAGCAAACAGCCCTTGTGGGCAGACATGGTCTTCAGAAGGCAGAAAATGGTCTTGGCTGCTGCAAAACCTGGAGTTGTAGAAGCAGGCACCCCCGCATCCCGCATCCCCTCACTCGTTCACAACACAGTCCATGAGGGCCTGCTGTGTGCCTGCCTTGGATGGCGAGACAGAGACAGAGAGAGGCAGCTGCTGAGGGTATATTGTTGCCTGAGAGCAGGCATTGTGGCTCTTTCTGGAATTTTATACCCAGAAAAGAGGTCATTCCCTGTGTCCGCCAGGTAAGAGTCAAACCAGTCCACTTCCAGAGACCCAGCTCTAACTCCTCTGTCCCTGCAGGACAGAGGATGGACCCCAGGGGTCTCCAAGGCTGCCCATCTCTAGGGAAGCCCACCGCCACATCTTTCTCCCAAGGAGCATGATGTTCTTGAACCATAGAGCTTTAGGTTTGCAGCCTTGTGCTTTCACCAGTGTATCCCCAAGGGCCCCAGTGGGCGGGAGACTAGAGGTGAGGAAATAGAGGAAATGAATTCATAGTTAGAGTCAGAGAACAGCAGCTCCAAAAGCTAGGGGCTAGTGAAGGATGTCATGGGGAGGAACAGTTCATAAAAGGAGAGGAAAAATGTTCTAGAACCAGAAGCATGTCCTTAATGTCACTGAATTGTCCATCTAGACACTGTTGAAGTTGGGAAGTATGGTTTTCTGTGTATATTTTTTAAAAATAGTATGTGAAATTATTATTTGTAGACTCCCTGCTTTATGCCTTCGTGCCAGGCCCTGTGCCAGATCTTTGACGACTGTTAGCTCATGGTGATCACATGCAGGAGGGAATACTTAATCTCATGGTTCAGATGGTGCATCTCAGAAAGGCTCAGATTTGCTCACGGTCACACACAGATGGTAAAGGGTGGAGCTAGGCTTCAAGTCGTGATGTGATTGGAACATTGCTCTCAAGCCAACCCAAAACTCAGAGGTGTTCGATTCTGACTCTAGACACCTTGTAGGACAGCGTAGATTGAAGTTGCCAAGGACTGCATTTTGCTTGGCTCCACAATTTATACCCAGGGAAGCAGAAGTCAAGAAATCAAATGACATATTGAACTGGGCACATCTGCTGCCAAGGACTTCTTTAAAGTGCAAAAGAGCAAGGATATCATTTTAAAGACTAAGGTGTGCCTGGCATAAGCCATGGTATTTTCACTTGCTTCACGTGCATGTGAAAGTTGGATAATGTATAAGAAAGACTGAAGGGAAATTGATACCTCTGACTTGGCGGGGTGGGGGTGGGGGGGGGGCGGGAAGAGTACTGAATATACCATGGAATGCCGAAAGAACAAGCAGATCGGACTTGGGTGGAGGACAGCCAGAGTGCTCCTTAGAAGCAAGTATGATTTAGGCATATTGTCAAAAGTCCTAAAGAAGGGCATCATGCCTGGTATGGTAGATGTTATGTTGTTGTTATGTGTCGTCGAGTTGGAATCAACTCATAGCTGACTCTCCAGTGGGTTTTCAGAGGCTGTAAATCACATAGAAGATTGCCCATCTTTCTCTCAGGGAACTAGTAGATTCTAACTGCCTGCCTTTGGTATTGCAGTGCAGTTTCTTACCACTAGGCCACCAGAGCTCCCTGTAAAGTAGTTCGACTGTGTCTTACATGGCTGATTTGAGTTGGACTCTAATCGGCTGTAGGGCAAAGTTCATGAACTGCTGCTGATGGAAAGGTGAAAGGTTCGAGTCCACCAATAAATGACTCAGAAAAACAAGCTGGCAATCTGTTGCCAAAAATGTTAGCCACTGAAAACTCTGTGGAACACAGTTGTACCCCTTTCACACCTGGGTCACCAGGAGTCAGAATCCACTAACAGCAACTGCAGCATTTTGCTTTTGTTTTTAATCTCATTAATTGTTCACTTGAACCAGTGAGGAAACTGGAGTTCAGGAGAATTAAGTAACATGTAAGGCATAGTAGCCGGCAGGTTGTGGAGCTCGGAGTTAAACCAAGAGCCGTCCTGTTTTGACCTGTTAGCATAGCTTTATGGCCCCTGTCATGAGTAGAGGAAAATGTGAGTCTTTATGGAGGGATGGGATTACGAGAGCCTGCACTGAAGGAGGAAAATTGTTAACTTTTGCTTATTTTGTAGCCAAAAGCTGGGTCTCTTGGATCGGGTTCGCCTTTCTAATCCTCGTGGTAGCAATACTAAAGGAAAGCTATTTACCCCTCTGAATGTAGATGCCATAGAAGAAAGCCCTTCTAAAGAACCAAAGCCTGTCGGCTTAAACAATAAAGAGCGTTTCCGCACCGCCTTCCGCATGAAAGCCTACGCTTTCTGGCAGAGCTCTGAAGGTAACGTCCTGCTCCCCTGACCCCACGCTTCTCCCCTTTCCCTGTGCCAGATCACCTCCACTCCTTCCCGTGGGAGGACTCTGCTTACAACATTGCCTTTCTTATCTCCTTGAACCGACTTCCTGCTTCATCTTACTCACGTATCTGAAATTAATAATGCCGAGGGCATCTGCTGTACCTTCCTGTGGATGTGTCGATCATGAGGCTCCCAAGTTACCTGTGACCACCTCTGTTGGTCATCACTCACCTCTCAGGGAGCCTTGGGCCATGTCGCCATGTTTTCTACAATGGATGGGATGAGTGAATTAACATTGGGGCCAACTTGAAGCAGTGATAGGCTATGTACAGAATGACCGAGAGCATATGTGTCTCGGTACTCCTAGAGGGTTGGAAAGAAGTTTGGAAGCCCCCTCTTGGGCTGTGTGAAACTACAGTCTCTGGGCTTCTTTCACTTCCAGAGAAAGACAACAGATAGGCAAGATGGTGTATTCAGTGTCTGTGACCTCACGCACTGACTCACACCATTTCTGTCAGTCCTCTCTCAGACCTTCTGAGGAACATGAGGCTCACAGATGGCCTCCTCAAAGTCACAGGGCTAATAACTGGCAGAGCAGGAGTCCATACCCAGATCTATCAGAGAATGTCCAGTTGCTGTCCTGTGGAACCACTCAGGAGCTTTGGCACCGCAGCGCTGCCTGTGGCCCAGGCTTGTGCGTGTCAGAGGGGATGAGGAAGGCACAGAATCTGCACATGGAGACCCCTGTGCAGTTTCACAGAGCCATCACAAAAACTGGAAGTCACAAAGCTGATGCCTACGAAGGCTGTCACTGAGCAAGGCTCCGGAGCCTTTCCAAGTTCTGTGGCCTGGTGTTGACACACTTGTCTCCCTCTTAGATGCAGGGACAGGAGAACCCATGGCAGAAGACAGGGGCTACGGGAATGACTTCCTCATTGAAGACATGATCCCCACCCTGAAGGCCGCCATCCGAGCAGTCAGGTAATGTTCTTAGTCTCCTCTTCACCTGAATCCTTCCACAGGCCCCACTCCCATGGCACATGGCATTTGGGATTCAAGAAGGTGGGCAGAGAGTACTGCTGAGATTCGGAAAGATGGGTCAGAAGTACTGTTGGGATTAGGGAGGGTGGACAGGAAGTGCTGCTGGGATTGGGGAGGGTAGACAGGAAGTGCTTACTGCTGGGACTAGGGCAGGTGGACAGGAAGTGCTGCTGGGATTGGGGAGGGTGGACAGGAAGTGCTGCTGGGATTAAGGAGAGTGGACAGGAAGTGCTACTGGGATTAAGGAGGGTGGACAGGAAGTGCTGCTAGGATTAAGGAGAGTGGACAGGAAATGCTGCTGGGATTAAGGAGGGTGGACAGGAAGTGCTATTGGGATTGGAGAGTGTGGACAGGAAGTGCTTGCTGCTGGGATTAGGGAGGGTGGACAGGAAGTGCTGCTGGGATTAGGGGTTAATTCCCAAATCAGATTCAGAGTCCACTGGTGTAAAATATAGCATGAGAGGAAAAAAGAAAATGACTCTTCCCTGAATGGGTTGTTGTGATTCTTGCTTGCCTATGACTAACAAGATGCATTTTGAACACACTACAAAATCTAACTACAAACACGTAGCAGGAGGTCACCTGGGACTTCATTGACTGTTGATCAGGAGCTTTGGTCCTCACTGTCTTAACAGCCATCCTCCTTGTGACGGAGTCCTCGAGAAGCATTCACTCTCTTTGGTGACTACCGTTTGTTTCCCAGGAAGATGATGTGAGAGTGGCCTTGCTTAGCAGCCCTGAAAGCCCCAGGTAGTTCGAAGATGCAAGGACAGGAACTGGCTTGTCTTTTCGAAGAACTCATGAACGGAAGTGCAGAGGAGCTATGTCTACTATCCCCATGAGACAGTGTGATGCAGGAGTTGAAAGCATAGACTTTGTTCTCCCACAAGCCTGGGCCTGAGGGCCAGCTCGGACAGCATTAGCTAGCTAGCCCTGAAGAAATTCTCAGTGAGTTCTGTCGTCTACCAGTCAGCTTCTTACCAGGTGGTTTATAGTGTAGTTGGCCCAGGCTGCCGTGTAATGGACACCTCATCTGTTGTTACTGGATGCCACTAGGTCATTTCTGACTCTGACTCATGAGAGCTCAGCGGAACGAGTTCAACAGAACTCAGCACTGGCCGGTTCTGCACCATCTTGAAATGCTGTGCTCACATCCATAGCTCTCTGCTCTGCAACCATTGTGTCACTCCGTCGTGTCGAGAGTCTCTTTCTCACTGACCTTCATCTTTACCAAGGATGATGACCCTCTCCAGCTTCCAGTCTCTTCTGATAATAGGTTTTAAGCATAAAAGTTCCACAGTCCTTGCTTCCAAAAAGCATTATGGTTGAATTTCTTTCAAGACTGATTTGTTCATTCTGCTGGCAGTCCATGGTATAGTCAACTTTCTTCACCAACGCCATAATTCAAATATATCTGTTTTTCTTTACTTTTCCCTATTCATTGTCTAGCTTTTACATGCATATGAAGTGATTAAAGTATCATGGCTTGGGTCAAACACCCTAGTCCTCAGAGTAAAATCTTTATGTTATTGTTATTATTATCTTATTATTATTCAAGTCATTTAGGAGCAGTGTTCAGGAAGAGAGGGATTGAGTATTGTTACTCTCCTTTGTCAGCCACACGGAATTAATGTCTTTTTCTCATTGGCTCCTTTTCCCTTGCCCCAGGTTTGCTGACGCTGTGATAAGGTTCCTCTACTCCCTACCCATGACTCACATGCATCAACTCCGTCTTACAGAATTCTACAATTCCGTCTCTATAAGAAAAAATTCAAGGAGACCTTGAGGCCTTATGACGTGAAGGATGTGATTGAGCAGTATTCCGCAGGACACCTCGACATGCTTTCCAGGATAAAGTACCTGCAGACCAGGTAAGGTGGCCTCATCTGGAGGGACTATGTTGCCCTGCTCCTTAAGGAATCAAACCTGCAGGAGTCTAGAGGTTGGGGAGAAAGGCAAGAACTCAGCAATCCAAAATACAGGGGCACAAGGTAAGGGCAAAGGTCCATCAAGCAGAAAGAAACATCATCAATGCCTAACTGAATAATTCTAACCATTTATTAAGCATATGAGGGGTTCACATTGTTGTTGTTGTTATGTGCCATTAAAATCACCTGCGACTCATAGCAACCCTCTGCCCAATAGCTCTGAACCATGTTCTATCCTGAGCCAATCTCACTGTCCCTGACACACTTACCTTCATTACCCCAGTTACTGTGTCAACCCATCACATCTGGGCTCTTCCTCTCCTGCGCTGTCCTGCCACATTTCCAAGCATCATGTCTTTCTCCAATGACTGGTTCCTCCTGGCTACATGGCCAAAGTATGTGAGATGAAGTCTCAAAATCCTTGCCTCCGAGGAGGAGCTTGGTTTCATCCTTTCTAGGGCAGACCTGTTAGTTCTCTTAGCAGTCCATGGTATGTTCAGTATTCGTCTCCAGCACCACGACTCAAAGGTGTCAGTTCTCCTGTCATCCTCGGTCATTATCCAGCTCTCTGATGCATAACAAGTAATTGTGAAGACCATGGCCTGGATCAGGTACACCTTAGAGTTTCGCATGGAAGTATCTAATCTTTTATAACCTTTTAATTCATTTAATGGGAGATGGCATTTTATAGTTGAGGGGACAGAAGCTGCAAGATGAAAATTATTTAGCTGGTTGGTTGGGAAGATTGGAGTGAAACTAAGAACTTCTGTTTTCTCAAATACTCTGCACATTGTAAGTTAGGAACCTCGTGGGTGTTGCTGTATACTGTCGGTTGGGACCGACTCATAGCTGACCCTCCAGCAGGTTTTCAGAGGCAGTGAATGGCGTAGGAGTTGATCACCCATCCTTCTCTCACAGAGCAGCTGGCAGATTCCAAACACATGCCTTCGTGTTGACAGTGCAATTCCTTACCACTGGGCCACTAGAGCTCCCTGATTAGGAAAGGGTGGGTGAGGGAAGTGTGAGACCCACTCACATTAAAAACTTATGTTAAGTGTAGTAGACCGAGACACAGCCAGAGTTTTGAATCTCTGTCAGCAAGTGTTTCTGTGAGTTGGTTTTAGAGGTAGACTGCCTGGATAAATAATTGTTCCCAAGCAGGTATTTGGAGGACGACCAGGGAGAAAGGAAGGCTAAGTTAGCATATGGCTGTGTCAGCCGAGGAGCTTTCTCTGGGCTTTCAGATAAGAGACCGTGGTCCATGGCTGTTTCTGGATGCACTGTCCACGCTCTGCTGAGCTGCCTCCAGGCTCTCTCCTTAGCCCCCTCCCCACCTCCAGGGACCTCTCCTCTTGTGTGACAGCAACTCTGGGCTGAAATGAAGCAGGGATAGAGCTGGTGTCAGACCCGTCACACTGAAGACCAGGGATGCTGGCTGAATGCAGTGTTCTGAGCAGCTGAAAACCAAGCCCTGCATTGGCAGGAAACGCTCCCTGACTCGGTGTTTTCAGGAGCAATACAAGAGCTCAAAAGACAAGATAGACTTGCAGGCACAAATGACACTACCCATGGGGATAACAAGATACAGTTCTCAGTCTGTCCTCGTGGTCAGCCTGCCTGCTCTCCCTTGTGATGGGGGGGGTGTTTTCATACCCACAGGATAGGTGTGTGCTGAAAGCATCCGTGTCCACTCCCCTCTCCTGCCCTTCCTTCTCTATCTTTCACTCTTCCCCATCTCTTGTTTTCTCTCCCCATCTCTCCTCTCTCTCTGCCTTCTCTTTCTTTCCTCTCTCTCCCTCTGTCTCAACTTCTGCCTCTTCCCTCTTCTCCCTCTCTCCTCTAATACATTCAAACCCTCATTTGATGTTCATTGTCCTCATAAAGCAAAGCTCTGATGATCTCAAGTCCCCTTCTTGTGTGTTCTCTTTCAGAATTGATATGATTTTCACCCCTGGACCTCCATCCACACCGAAACACAAGAAGTCTCAGAAGGGGACTGCATTTACCTACCCATCCCAGCAATCTCCCAGGTGAGGCTGGTGCTGCCAACACAGGGGGCAGCTTGGATTCCTTTCCTGTATCCCTTATTTCTTTTTTTATTTTATTGGTTTTAAAATAGGCACACAGAGAAGTGTACAGAAATGTACAAGTCAATGAACTTTATAAAGTGTTCCCAGCACTCCCACTGCACCAAGCCAACCTGGAATCTCAGTTCTCAACCACAGCACTTATCCTTGCTTTCTTTATATTTTATATGTAAATGAAATCCACACATGCCCTGTAAACCTCCCATTTCTAAGGTAGGTTCCTTAAATGTTTTAAAACACTATGCAGGCCAAAAAAAATCTCCAAGTAGGCTAGATTAAGTAAACAGACCACCAGCTTTTGAGTCCTGTTATCATTCAAATATATGAGTCTTACTTGACTTGACAGCACCTACCAACAACACAGCAGCATCACTAAGCAAATCTGCTCTCAAGAACCTCTTGAAGATGTTAAAAAGAGCAAGGATTGTGGGAATGAGTGTATGAAACACAATGTGAATAAAGACTAGGGTGAACACAATGTATATGAACTTTGTAAACAAACTAATATAAAACTGTTGAAAAAGTGGAAGGATCATTTTTTAAAAGGAAAAGAGCATGCATTCTGGTGGCAGGTGCCTTGTCCTCAGGGCTACAGCAGTAGGGAGGTCAGTGCTTTGGGCCTCCACTGAAGGTGACCTCTGCTCCAGATAAATGGTGCCAGTGGCTTGTTAATTCCAGTACTAATTTGCTTTGCTGACCAAATACCTGGTACCAGAGGATGGTGAGGCAAAGGCTAGGAGCAGTGTTGTGGCCCTAGGGCCCAGCCCCATACTGGGGGCTTTGTACATAGCTATGAAGAAAACACAAAGTGTATAAATCTGAGTATATATTTACATGTCTTTTTAAAAGGGTTGATACCAGAGATTTACCCATTGGGTAAGATGCTTCTGGTGGCTGGGAGGCATCAATTGCTATATATTGAAAACCATGAAAAAAGAAAAAAAAGGAAAAGAGCAAGGATGTCATTTAAAAGACTGTGGTGCACCTGATCCAAGCCATGCTATTTTCAGTTGCTTCTTAAGCATCTGAAAGTTGGACAGTGAGTCAATGCCTTTGAATTGTGATCTTGATGAAGGGTACTGTATATCTTCATGAACTGCCAAAGGAACACACAAATCTGTCTTGTACAAAGTGCAGCAGGGGTGTTCCTTAGAGACAAAGATGTTAAAACTTCATCTCACTTACCTGGGACATGTTGTCAGGAGGGGACAGTCCTTGGAAAAGGACACCCTGCTGGAAAAGCTGGAGGGTCAGAGAACTAGAAGAAGGTCTTCAACGAGGAGAGGTGCCATGACTGCAGAAATGGCTTTGAACAAGGCAGAGACTGTGAGGATGACAAGGTTCCAGTCTGTTGCTCACAGAGCACCTAACAGCGACAACATCATTCAAGAACGCTCGGACTGCTCAGCCAGGACGGTCAGGGGCTTGGCAGGAATTGGCAGTTATTGAAAGAAAAACCAGTTGAACAGAAAATACCTAGCATGAATGACTGCGAGTGTCGTTGCTTTCTAGCGTCTGTCAAGGCAGCCCCGTTCATGCCCCAGGCACATGGGGCTGTGCACTGCCCTGATTGTTTGCAAATTGAAACACTAGCTAGTCTCCGTAATAAGTCTCATGCATAGAGAACATAAAAATACTAAAACTCACTGGGATTTGGCCAAACCTTAATCTTTCCGTGATCAGTAGACAGATGTAGAGGACATCGAAACCCATCTCCTGTCAACATCATCTTTTGCGTCATGTTCCAGATTAGACATTTGTTTTGCATCTTTAACAAAATGAGCCTGATGAAACCGTTTTATCTACTGTGTAGAACTTCAGAGAGTCATCACGTTTACTGACTACATGTATACTTGTGTGTGCGCACACCACGCACAGGGCAGAAATTCCCAGCCAACCATGCAACACTGAAAGGCGAAGGAATTCAATTCAAAGAAATTAAACACTCTTTGAGAACCACGGTGTACCTGACCCAAGCCACGGCATTTTCTCTCCGCTCATTTGCATGTCAAGGCAAGGGAACCCTGTGTGGTTCAAAATCAGGAAAGGTGAACTGAGCTGGATCCTTTCTCCATACACATTCAGTCTGTTTACTAAGCAGATCACGCAGAAGTTGGACTACTTGAAGAAGGATGTGACATCAGTATCAGAAGACTCATCAACCACCTGCGCTTGGAGGTAATACGACCTTGCTTGCTGAAAGTGAAGAGAATTTAAAGCATTTGCTGCAGAAGTTCATAGACTACAGCCTTAAACAAAGATTACACCTCAGCCTCAGGGAAACAAAAATCTTCATCACTGGGCCACGAGACAATATCATAATATATGGAGGACAGGTTGAAGTTGCTAGTGATTTACTTTTATTTGGACCCAGAATCAATACTCTCTGTAATATCCGTCAAGAAATCAAGAGAGGTGTTGTATTGGAGGAAAGCCTATTGTGAAGGACCTCTCCAAAGTGCTGAAAAGCAAGGGTATCGTTTAAAGACCCAGATGCACGTGATCCGAGTTGTGGTCTTCCCCATTACCTCTATGCATCTGAAGGTTGGACGGTGAATAAGGATGAAAGAAGAAGAAGCAAAGCCTTTGAATTGTGATGTTGGAGAAGAGTACTGAGTACCCCGGGAAAGCCAGAAGAACAAACAAGTCTGTCTTGGAAGAAGTGAGCCTTGGGTGTGTCTTCTGGGCAAGGATAGTAAAGATTCATTTCCTAGAATGTTTTGGGCCTGTCAGGAGGGTCCATATACATATGAAAGTTGGGAAATAAATAAAGTAGGAAGATCAAAGGAGAATCAATGCCTTTGAATCGTGGTGTTGGTGAAGAATATTGTCTCGTGGTCTACAGGAAGAACAGGGCGCTGCTTAGAAATCCGGATGATGAAACTTGGTCTCACATACTTTGGGCTATTATTAGGAGGGTCAGTCCATGAAGAAGGGCATTACGTCTGCCAGAACGTCAGTGAGGAGAGGAAGACGTGCAGTAAGTCTGTTGGCACAGTGGCTGCACTGCGGGTGCAGCACAGCGGTGATTGTGAGGAGGTTCGGGTCCCGCCGGGTTTTAGTCTGTTGTCCATACAGCTACTCTGAGTTTGAACCAACGTGATGATGGCACCTGACAACAGAAATGCTCCAGGTAGAGTCAGACCCTGTGTTAACTTCGATACCAGCTGCTGTCAGTTTTCACAGGTTCAGTTCTGAGTCCTGGTGGCCTGTGTGTGTCGGGGCAGAGCTGTGCTCTGTGAGGTTTTTGTTGACTGGTTTTTCAGAATTGGATCGCCTGGCCTTAAGAGGCACTCAGCCTCTCTGTTAGCAGCTGAACACACGGGCCAATGGCATCGTCCCACTTTGTGTCCCACTGAGACACAGGGGATCCTTATAAGATAGCAGCATCGTATTTTCCCGTGGGGAAGGCTTGTGGGAGTCCCTGGTGCACAGCCTCCTGCAGTGTTGAGGGGTGTCTTCCAGGCTGCAGTGGCTGGAAGGTGAGGACCATCACTTCATCACCCCACACCTGCCTGCCAGAACAGCTGGGTGAAGCAAAATGGGGTAAACTGGGCTTCTGTAATTGTTGTCTTTTTCTAGGAATGAACCATATGTAGCCAGAGCCTCCACATCAGAAGTTGAAGACCAAAGCATGATGGGGAAATTTGTAAAAGTTGAAAGACAGGTAGGCCTTTTCTTTTTTTTCTTTCACCAAAGAAAACAACTGTATAAAATGTATTTCCATTAGTCAGCATTCAGAATGGAACAAAGCTCACCCCCGTGGCTCAACTTTCAGCCAGACAATGGTGAAGCCTGTAAGAGGAGAAGTAACACCAGACAGGTGCTCACTCTTAGAACAGCCAGCCATACAAGATCAAAAGAGCAGCACTTGCCCACAGAGAGACCACAGATGCAGGAAAGGGGAGAGTGGGGGACAGCGGAAAGGGGAATTACAGGGGCGAAGGAGGAACGATGTATTACCTTATAATCAAGGTTATGAAACATGAATGGCTGAATAGAAACAAATTTGCTTTGTAAGCTTTCACTGAATTCTCGAGAAAAATTACAGATCATTCCAAATACATTTTTTCATAAGAAGATACTATTTACTATTCAGAAAAAGATACCAAGTTTCAACCTCTGATGAGTACTTACTGTGTAGGTGAGCATATGCAAGTTAGTGTACTGTTCTGAACCTCAGTTTACTCATCTGTAACGTGGGAATCTCCTCATATGGTTGTGATGAGGGTTAAATCGATTAATACATGAGAATTTTCTAGAAGAGTTGCTATCATAGCAAACACTCAGTTACTACTTAGAGGAGTCAATTAAGTACCTTGTGGCATCCCCTCAAGAAATGTTAGTTGCAGTGACTTCCTTTGCCAGGAGGCCAAAATAACTAGAGAATTCTTGTCAGTCATTACTGAATGTTTTCAGAGAAGTTTGTGCACAAGAATACTAATCAAAAGAGAGGGAAATATAGAATTTTAAATTATCATGGAATCCTCACTTTCTAGAACCGTGGAGGTTGGAAGAACCTCTGAAACTAATGCCTTGAGATAATTTTTAAGGCTCAAACAAAAAATAACTCTTTAACCCTTCTTTAAACCAAGTAACAGTTTTGCAGATTAGTAAATAATGTCTGCTTAAACATTGTGTTCTTGAAAAGACTGATTAATATGGGCTCTCAGGAACAAGGACAGCTGGGAAGGTCAGAGGAGAGACTTGGGAGGCAGTGATTTCATGTTAGCTGGGGAGCACTGGCTTATAAACTAAATCAAAAACCAAACCGGCTGGCAGCATGTGGATTCCAGCTCCTGGCAGCCCCTGTTTTCCACAGCAGAACTCCACCTGGCAGCTTCTTCGCTGGTTGTGATCTTTGCAAGGAGTGCACCAGGGCTTTCTTCCGCAGCTCCTCTTCGTGGAGTCCACCCACTAACCTTGCAGCTAGTAGCCAAACACTTCACCCGCCCCACACCCAGCCACTCCAGGTTGTTTCTAGATTAACACTCGTGAACGCGTGGCACCGTCAAGTAGAAGACACCAAATGTATCCCCGCCTCTTGTTCATTTTTGCCAAATTATACGAATGTTCTTCAGGGAGCTCTGTTGGCCTAGTGGCAAGAAGCTGCACTGCAATCCCAGAGGTATGTGGTTCAAATCCACCAGATGCTCTGCTGGAGAAGGAGGGGCAATCTCCTCCTGTACCAGTCAGATCCGATTTGACGGTACACACACAGAAAATAATAAAAGGAAAATTTTTTAAAAAATAAAAGAATGTTCTTCCTTTCTGAAAAGTCACTGTAAAACTCAGCCCCGGTGGCTTCACGCATCAGTTCTGAAGGATGGCGTCCTCTAAAGGGTGGCGATCCTGTGCATAGAGTGGAACAGCCCTGTTGAGCTTCCCTGGCTCCCTGGAGCCTCCTTGGTTAGACTTGTAGTGAAAGCTGATCAGCAGTCTTTTCTCCTGTGGGGTCACAGCGTGGGTTTGAACCACCAACCTCAGGATCAGTTGCTGGTAGTCAGGATGCAGCCGCTGCAGACTGGGGCCCTGCGAATTGTAGACACTTGGATGTTTACCGTAAAGCGGGAGGGGGTCCTGCCTCCTGAGGAAGAGGAGACCATCCCCAGTGCTTGTGTTTGCAGGTGCAGGACATGGGGCGCAAGCTGGACTTCCTGGTGGACATGCACATGCAGCACAGGGAGAGGTTGCAGGTCCACGTGGGTGACTCCTACCCCACCAAGGGGCCGGCCTCTCCGGACGCCTTGGACAAGAAGGAGGACACCAGGTACTCTGATCTGAAAACCATCATCTGCAACTATTCCGAGACGGGCCCCCCCGACCCCCCGTACAGCTTCCACCAGGTTCCTATTGACAAGGTCGGGCCCTATGGGTTTTTTGCACATGACCCTGTGAACCCTCCCCGCGGGGGCCCCAGCTCCGGCAAAGTCCAGGCGGGCCTTTCGTCGGCAGCCACCACATACGCGGAGAGGCCCACAGTCCTGCCCATCCTGACTCTTCTCGACTCCCGGGTCAGCTACTGCTCCCAGGCTGAGCTGGCCGGGCCCCTCTCGGACCGCATCTCGCCCCGGCAAAGATGCAGCATCACACGGGACAGCGACACACCGCTGTCCTTCATGTCCGTCAACCATGAGGAACTGGAACGGTCTCCAAGTGGCTTCAGCATCTCCCAGGACAGAGACATGTTCGGCCCCAGCGGAGGCTCCAGCTGGATGCGGGAGAAGCGGTACCTGGCCGAGGGGGAGACTGACACTGACACGGACCCCTTTACACCCAGTGGCTCCATGCCCCTGTCGTCCACGGGGGAGGGCATCTCTGAGTCAATATGGACCCCTTCCAACAAGCCCACTTAGCGGGGTCACTGGCTGGCTCCTCCTTGTAATGTACACAGACTCTGTATAGCTCACTATTCTCTCACCCAAAGCTAACCACTGGGACCACCCGTGGCTGCATCCGTGCATGCGTGTGCGTGGGGGCCCCGACGGGGCTGTCACCACTCTTCCTCCTCTGTCACCACAATGACGCTGCTTCCTGTTCAGCATGCTTTGCATGACTTTACACAATATAAATGATGCCGCCAACCTTTTCCAGGACACAAGCCCAGCTCTTCTTCCTTTCCCTCATGACTGGACCAGGACAGGGAGAAAATCTGGTCAAACTCTGCAGGCCGTCCGGTGGGTTGGCTCACCTGGGCTTGGGTTGGGGATTGGTAAGCAGGGAAAGACCTTCTCAGTTCTTTGCAGGATCCCTTCTGTGTTCAGTGACACCATGCTCTAAAGTGGGGAGCAGTGTTCCCCACAGAATCACCCTGAGTGTCAGTGAGGTCGCCTGCCAAGCTGGTGTTGAGAAGAAAGCAGGGTAGTCAATGCACCTCCAATACGAAGGCAATTCTAAATTGATTTATTAAAGAAAACCTGGCACAGCCTTTTCAAAGCTCTTACAGGGACCTCCCTCAGTCCGCCATTGTCTCATCTTGTGCCTGTTTCCCCGTTTGTGAAAAGGGGGTAATAATCCCGAAGGTAGAGTTTCTGATGTGTCATGAATTGGTGAGAAAGAGAACATTCTTACACAACAACATGAAGATAATTCCCAGTTTATGTAGCCAAAGATAATGGAATTTATCAGAAGTGGGGCCCCTTCTGGGCAGGAACTGAGTTCAGTGCCTTCAAAGTGAGGTTCTAACTCGCTTTCCTCCCCAGGATACTTTAGCCTGAAATGCACACTTAGAACAGGAGTCAGAGCCAGGAGGCATGCAGAGATTACCTGGTCCATCGTCAGACACCTTCCCCAGGTGACCTTCCCCAGGTGACCTTCCCAAAGTCACTAATTTCTTGGAGAGTTTACACTCTACACCCAGCTGATTACTCTCCTCCTGATTGAGTCTTCATTCAACCCCCCTGCCCCTGCTGTGTCCACAGTGGAACCCAGAAATGGTGCCAGATCACAGTCCTCCGTGTCCGCAGAGAGCATCTGTGACAGTGTCCAGGAGGAGCGATGGCCACTGTTACTGCAAAACCCCTTAACCTGATACATTGTCTTTTAGATCCAGACATAATGGAATACAAGCAAGGTACTACCATAGTTAGAGATATGCAGGTGGCATCATTTCCCAAAACATCCAATTGTGCTCCTCCAATTTTTTTTTTATGAAAATGCTAGCCGTAAGACCAACTGGCATGTGGGCCAGCGGCCTGCAGAGCACTGCCCTGCTCTACAGATGTCACTGCTAAGCACAAGCCAACCAATGGCCTCTTATCAGATGTTGCTACTCGTTGAAGAAACTTTGATGCAAAAGGTTTTGATTAGGCTTGATCTGAAGTGGTTAAAGTATTACACCATATATAATTGTCTCATACTTTTCACATATTTAGGTACTGTTTTGGGTGGTTGCCATAGTGACCACCAATTTGATTAAAAGGACCCAACCAAATAGTCTTAAGAATCCCAACAACTCTGATAGACATCTGGTAACTTCCATCAAAACCCAAAGCTACATCCTGCCTTTTTTAGGGAAAGGAGCCGCTTCTTCAGTTGGGGTTCCTCTCAATCCACAAGATAACAGAAACCATTCACGAAACTTAGAGTCCAGCGATAATGAAAGCTTGGTTCCTGCTTTTAGGAATATATGACCAAACCCTGAGTTCTTTGGCCGAGTGATGAGCATTTTAAGTGGTGAGAAGGGAGATATACCTGGCAATACCTTGTGAATGGATGAGTGATGACCTTGAAGTCCAAGGCAGGAAATATGCTGAAGTAGTAACCACAACTCTCAGTCATGATACCCCTATTGACAGTTGTCATTTGAATTTCTGGGAACCTGAAGGCTAAAGGGCAGGGTCTTCCCCCTTTACCCCCAGCCTTTTAAGTATGGATTAAAGGGCCATTGAGGGCAAAGATCTAAGAAACCCATGTCCCTTCCTGAAGGCTTGGTTCTTGATTGTGACCTTTTCCCAGGAATGACTGAGCTGTCACTTTCCCACCACTGTGTTCTGTATGTGTATGAAATGAGAAAGGAGTGATAGAATTCTCTGAATTCACACCACTTGTTTCTATTCAACATATTCATATTCTTGCAGAACCTACTAGCCTTAATACCTTACAAGTAGATGGGCCTTTTAAGGACCCATCAAGTCCTTGGTCTGGAGACTGTGGTCTTGTCACCCTCAAGCTTAACAAAAAAATAATCCATGGACTTCAAAGTCAGAGGGACTTCCTTCAGTTCTTTTATAACCTACAGAGAATTGGCAACTTGAGCTATTTTGTGGACTGTAGGTGAGCTTTCTAGCTTCTCTGCTGAGTCATAAAACCATGATGGTGGGCACTGGGTCTGTCTTGGTTTTCACTAGTTCTCTAACAGTATATCCATATCAGTTTAGACAAAGACAAAACACATGTTTCATAAATGAATGAAAATGATCTTTGCAGCTGTTCCTTTCTATCAGAGAAAACAAAAACTACCTTCTGGGAAAATCCTGTTTCAATATTCTCTATAAAAGAATAATGTCTTTTTGGAAAGCAAACCACACCTTTTTGAATGGCTTTCCCCACAAACAGTATTAGCAGCATGGCTGGAATTGATGAAACAGAAAGAAGTACAGGGCCGGGGGTGGTACCTGAGTTACAGTTACACAGTGTGTGCAAAAATCCTTGGTCGAACAGAGACGAGCAGGGTGATGGAATGACCCAGCAGGATTTGTTACTAACATTGCCCAGGATTCTGCTACTTCAGATACATCGGTAATTGTGAAGCTGGCCCAAGATACTGAGAGTCTTGAAAGAGCCCGTGAATTAGCGGCATAGTAATCCCATCATGCAAACCAGGAATCATTTTCGTAGCCAAAACTAGGACCAAAAAAACAAAGATGTTTTGTTTTGTTTCGGAATTGTCACAGCCTGAGGATGTGTGTCTGTCTGATGTATGGGAAGGTTTTAGAGGTCGCCTGTTAGGAGGGGAGTGAATGAGAAAGCCACTTTCCAAACGGTTGGTGAAAAGTGATCATAGTGAGCAGGTAAAAAGGTGCATGAGATTGATTGTAGTTCTGAGTATCAAATACCACTATACAAGCAAATACCAAATGTTCAAAGGAGAAATTGTAGAAGCTTAGCGGGCAGGGGAAGCATCACAGAAAACTCTGTTCAATAATTGGATTTGCTTAGGAAACTGAAAATTTATGCTAATTAAACAAGACCTCGATATTACCAACTATCACTATAAAAACCCAAGATAGGTCAAAATGAGCTAATTAACCCATAATTATGCATCAGATTCCTAGGCAGTTCCTAGACGCTCATCCTCTGTGAGTACAGAGAGCGAGTGCCTGTGGGAAGAATTAGTGTAACTGGATCTGCTTGCAATGGGCCAAGACCATCTCATATATCAGTGGCAATAGAATAAGAGTGAATAAGGCATCTTTTCTTTATTTCAATTTTATCAAACACTGCTGTATGCCAAGAATTGTGAAAAGCACTGTACTTTCAGAAAGGAGCAAACTAGATTTCCTGCCTCACAGAGCTTGGAGATTTGTGGGACCCCAGGAGTGGAAATGACCTGATTCACCCCTCCAGACCACTCTGTGCTAACAGATGTGCCCAGCACAAAGTAGTCAGCATCAAAGTGGTAGTGAACCCATCAGTACATGGAAGGCTCAGTAGGCTGGGTGTTACTGAGCTCGAGTCAAATTAGTTAGACTTTATAGATGCATCTCCAGATAAACTGGCAAGAACTTGAAGGTTCTGGAGTGTCCCACAGAGATTCTTGATTGATTTAAAAAAAAAAAAGCAGCTTTCTGTTTCTCTCCAGATTCCTTTTCAAGTTGAAGTCAGGTAAGAAGCTAAGCTAAGCTTCCATCTCATTTGCTTGACCAAGAGCAGGTGAGCTCAAAATCAGTCTCCATGGTTCAACATCTACTTCAAGAGAAAGGTGTAACTATGGCAACCTGTAGATCATAGTCTGCACAGCAAATTCCATTTCCCAAAGAGGGTAGTTTTCCCTGGCCTGACACGTTTGGACAGGACTGTCAAGTTCTCTGCAGGCTTCCACAGAAGAGGCCGTTTTGCTGGCCTTTGGTTTCCAGTGACAGATACGTGGGGCAACAAGATTTCTGAGCCCAGGGCATCCTCAAGAATGTGTCCATGACTTTCATTGTGGTTTTCTTATTTCAGGCTGAAACAGAGAAAAGTTTTTTATTTGTTCTGGTGTTTTTTGTTTTTTAAAAAGAAACTCTGTTAAATTGCATATGGATGAATGAGATACATTGCATTCATCTGAAATTCTGACCCATCGCTTCTGTTGGCTCAGCTCCAGAGTCTGGCCTCAGGTTTGATTCACATCTGTCAGCGAGCCTAGAAATTTCTCCTACATTCTCACACACACACACACACACATATGGGTTTGAGTTTTAAGAAAAGGGATGTGATTCCTTTTGCAATGTCTGTGACCCCAGGTTGCCACTTCTGCTAAGGTCCTCATTGCATGGCATCTCTCACATGAGCACAGCCTGTGTCCTCTTCCTTAGTGATCAAAAGAACACATCATCTTCATCAGAGTCATACATTATACTCTAGGACCTTCACCAAAAGGGAGCTCTGGTAGCCTAGAGGCAAGAAGCTGCGCTGCAATCCCGAAGGCACTTAGTTCCAGGCCACCAGCTGCTCCACAGGAGGACAGGCAACCTCCTCCTGTGTAATTAACTGCCTCTGAAAACCCGCCAGAGGGTCAGCTGTAGGTCGACGGTTCCACCTGTACAGTACACAACAACCACCTTCACCAAAAGCTACAAATGGGATTTGATTGAAGACAATTGATGTTTGTTTAACTAGGAAGTGATTTGGGTAAGTAAGTACTTCTCTTGACCCAAATAAGGATTTCTGACGACGATCTCCTCCTTTGCTCTGCTTGGGAGAGATTGCCACAATTCTGCCTGGCTTGCTGGCATCTCTCACAAATGGCAGGCCGTCCAGATAGCTTCATCCTAAGGCTGACCCGGCTATCTTAAGAGGAAACCCAGAGGGTGGGCTGGCGAAATCTTGAACCACCATAGTTGATCCAGTGTTTTTAAAGATTACCTTTCTACCTAAAACCCCTTCACAAAAA